TTGGTCTGAAGAAACAGGCCAGGCCTCCCATGCCTTAGGCAAATATTTGCTCTTACAAAGGTTCAAAGGTGTAATTTGATGACATTATGGATCTTCCTCAAGGCAAAAATGAAACATTTCAATTTATTATACATCAGTTTTCATATATAAATAATGAAAAGAGCAGCAATATGAGAAATTCTTCTAAGTAATTTCTTTCTTGGTACTTATACGGTAATATTACTTATAATGTAATAAACTGAAAAATCACTAGTGAATTCTAAAACTGCTTGCCAGATGAGTGACTAGAATCCCAGTACTGTGCAGCTATCAGGACAGTCAACTGATAGCATGGACACAACGTGGAGCTTGTTGCACAGAAAATTACACATATTTAGGTCACTGCACCAGCGTACCAGCAAGCAATTAGGCTACCAAACGTCAATTCTCCCCTTAAAACAAAAACTCCCTCAAAAGAACTCACAAAATAAAACATGAACAAATGGACAAATCTAAGGATAGTATAAACTGAAAAAAACTGCATAAAGTTAGGACTCCAATAACTCCTTGTACTGAATTCTCAACTGAGTATTTCTTCTTAAGCTCTGGAAGGGTGGATGGTAGTTGGGGGTCGCTTAGGTTTTTGACAAAATTCAGGTCATATCTGAATGGCAGACACAGCTATGTAACTTCAAGGGACAGAAAAGCTATGTTTTTTTTTATCTCTAATCTCCTGTGTGTGTGTACAGGCTCCACTCTCTATCCCATCAATGTTCAGTTCTGTAACAGCAAACCCCATGGCGCCTCAGAGGTTTGAAAAAAAAAAAAATCTTAAGAGTGGAAAGAACCTCAGAGGTAATCCAATTCAATCTCCTAAGACTCTAAAATTTAAGAATTTCCTAAGTATATACACAGCGTCTAGTTTCTAAGTTTTAGAGCAGGCTTCCTTTGTCTTGTAGGATCTTTGAGACTCTGTTAAGATTTATGGATCCGGAATAATATACTCAAACACAAAAGTGTACAATATTTTGAACATAATTTCAAAGGGCTTGCAGGTCCCTTGTTAAAACACCTCCCCTTATGATTATGAGTTTCTACCTTACAGTTGTTTCCTTACTGGAGCTCAGCAATTATGTTTCGGTTTTTGAAAAATTAAACATCTGAAGTAAAACAACCAATCTATCAGAGTTTAAGTTAAGGCAAAGACCCTGCCTATAGCTCCATACTGGAAGACAACTTTTACTGACTTCATATGTAACTCTCTTGGGACTTTCTGGATAATTCCTGTAATACACTGTTCCTGTGAAGAGAGAAGACATTATCAAAACAGACGAAGCAGGAACAAAAAGACAACCATCAAAGTGAAAAGCAATAATGAAAAAATATTTTTAAATCTCCATATTAAAAAAGGCATTCTTGAGCAAGGAGGGGAGGCGGGGCAGGCCGGCCCAAGGCCTGAAGCCCACCGAAGCCCACCCACCCGCGCCTGTAGCAGCCGCTCTTGTCCTCTGGGTACGGCTCGCAGGAGTGTTGGTTACCATGGTGAAGCTGGCAGCCAAATGTATCCTGGCAGGAGATCCAGCAGTGGGCAAGACCGCCCTGGCCCAGATCTTCCGCAGTGATGGAGCCCATTTCCAGAAGAGCCATACACTGACAGCGGGAATGGATTTGGTGGTGAAGACAGTCCCAGTTCCTGACACGGGAGACAGTGTGGAACTCTTTATTTTTGACTCTGCCGGCAAGGAGCTGTTTTCGGAAATGCTGGATAGATTGTGGGAGAGTCCCAACGTCTTATGTCTCGTCTATGATATGACCAATGAACAGTCCCTCAACAACTGCAGCAAGTGGCTGGAGAAGGCTCGGTCACAGGCTCCAGGCATCTGTCTCCCAGGTGTTTTAGTTGAGAACAAGACAAATCTGGCCGGCAGATGAGCAGTGGACTCCACTGAGGCCCGGGTGTGGGCGGTGGGCCAAGGCCTGGAAATGTTTTGAAACATCCGTGAAGGAGATGGAAAACTCTGAAGCCCCTTTCCACTGCCTGGCCAAGCAGTTCCACCAGCTGTACCGGGAGAAGACGGAGGTTTTCCGAGCACCGGTGTAAAGGCTAGAGTGGATCGTGCCGTGAGACCAGAGAAGACAGAATTACCTCTGCACTGTTAATATATAATGATGGCTTTAAAGAAAATTAGAGAAAATGTAAAAAAAAA